TATATATATAAGTTAAGAGAACGGATCTGTTTGTCCTAGGAGTAAATTTACCTAAACTTACTTCGTTCGATAACTCATGTTCTACATCAAATTTTAATAATTCAACCGTTGAATTTAAAGTTCTTAATGCATATATCAAATATGTAATTTTTTTTAAAATTTGAAAATCATTTGGGATTTCGTTTTATAAATTCAAATCAATGTATAAAATGATTTTATGATTATTCGTCAATTTGAATTAATGAAATGAAGTATCAAACAATTTTTAATTTTTTTTTAAATTTACATATTTGAGCTATGCATTAAAACCTTTAAATTCAATGGTTGAATCGTTTAAATTTAATATAAAATATAAGTTATTGAATGAAGTAAATTTAGATAGACTTACTCCCAAAGTAATGGACCCCTCCTCAAAAGTTAATGTAATATATACTTTTAAATTTGATGAATAATTTTTTTTATTATTTAATTTTTACATTTGACATGAATAATTAGATCTATAAAAATCATATTTCATATAAAATTATTAGTGATGTAAAAATAAGTATTAATTACACAAGTGCAAATTGATCCTTTCTTATGTATATAAATTCATATATATATATATATATAATATATATATATATATATATATATATATATATATATGTAATTTTAAAAGGTATAAATTATTTGTGAGAAAATATTTGGTGTAAAATACATTGACACAAGATTGCAAATAAACTTTTTTTTTCTTCTTCACTATCTCTCTTCAACTGTTTTGAGAATATGACATTGATATTCTGGAGAATCACATTAACCCCTCCCAATTATTTAAAAAATATTATATTGTATTTTCTTATGAGAGATGTTCATGTAAATGTAAAAAAAATAGAAGATATGTATAATATAATGAAAGTTTAGAAGGAACAAGTATAATTTACTCATAATTTTTATATTAAATATTGATTTTATGGTAAAATATAATCGATTAAATCTACCAAATCAGCATTTTTGAGCGAGAAAGATAGTTCATAATTGATCATGATCTATCTTTAATCGATTAAAATTAGTATGGTGCGTGTTAATGTTGATTTCTCACACCGATTTGAAGAAGAATAAAAAGTTAAATCTCACACTTTTATACTTTATTTGTTTCACATCAAACAACCTCACATTTTTATTTTCTACCCATTTATTTTCCTTCTTTCCAATTACTAATTGTCTGCAAGTTTTATGATCATTTCTTATTTGTGGAGTTTGTCCTCCCCTCTTTTTAAGCAATTTTTTTCATTTTTACCTTCTGCTCACCACCTCCTTGCACCCTTGATGACCCAAGTTAGAGATGAGTTTTTACTCAATTTTTCTTGTTTCTCTCCTATATAATCTAATTCTCTAATATATAATAACTTTGGTTATCATCAAAGAGGTATTTGGTATATCAAATATTTTAACTTTCTTAAAAATTTTAAAGTAAAAATCTTAATTTCTTATATTTGATAAATATTTAAAAAAATATAAAAAATATAATTTTTTAGGAATCATTTTTATCTTACTTTTTCATTTTCATTCTCCCTTTCTTCCTCTCTCCCTCTTATTCTTTCTCCCTTCCCTCTCTCTCACTCACACCCCCCTTCTCTCTCTCTCTCTCTCTCTTACTCTTTCTCTCTTTCTTTCTCCCTTTTTCCTTTTATTTTTCTTTCTTCATATCTTTGTCACACCCCTCTTTCACCCTATCTCCCCCTCTCCCCCTCCATTCCATTTCTTTATTTCTCTCTTTCTTTCTTATATTTTATTATTTCTTATCCTTATCAATTTTAATAATATTATTAAAGTTTGTTTTGTTTTTATAATTTAATGATATTTGTTAATATTTTTCAATTAATTAATTTGAATAAAATAAAATAAATATTTTTATCCTTCTTAATAGTTACGCAGCATTTTTATTTGTTTATTTTTGTTAAATTTTGTATTTAAATAATTCTAATTACAAGTTTTCAACTTTTTAAAAATAGTTTTATGTCATATTTGTAATAAATTTTGAGTAAATAAACATATCTAATAAAATTATTTTAATGAGGACTATATTTCCATAATATTTATAGGAACCTTTATAAGAAATCAAACATATTTTAACTATTCTTGTGAATAATTTATAAGAATCATGATTTTTGGATATGAAATTTTTTTTCTTTCACCAAATGTCCCCTAAATATAATGGACGTTTGTTTTGGGACTTTGAGTAAAAAAAAAAAAAACTTCAATTAATGATTGTTAGGTAAAGCATCTATAAATTTTTTAATAAATCTTTTAAAATCTCAACTCAATTAGAGATATAAAAAAGTGATTTTTTTTTATCAAGAAGATATATTAAGAATCTTCATACTAAGCATTATTGTTTATTAAATGATTAATTAAAATTCAATAACGTACCAACCTGATTCACGCACCAACCTAATTCATAAAATGACCAAGTTTAATCTACGGCTCAACCTCTCGGAACGAGGATAAAACAATATGAATCTCAGAGTGGTAGGCCGAGGTGGACTTATGATAACTGAGCATGGATCTCGGTATACTAAGGGACACTTTGGTATGCTGATGATATCGGTTGGATATCTCGGTATGAAGATGACCAATTTAACCGTTGCCAACTTTTCGAAAAGATAACGACCACGACGGTTACATAAAAAGAACAGACAATAACAAGAGGAAGGTAAGTAATTACATAGGAAAAAAAACATGAGAAAAAAGACTAACTTGAACGTCAAAATCTTTTTTACAGGTACAACTTAAGACTCTTGAAGAAGGAAGGACGACCACGAAGATTAAGATTATAGACAAGGGAACCGACTTGATTTTGGTAAGAAGAAATAATTTACAATTTAACCTAAAATTTTATTTGTTGAAGTAATGGTTAATGAGCTTCCATAAAAAAAAAACCTTAGGAAAAAAAATTGATTTATGCTGCCTCTTTATTTTTCATTCAAGATATTCAAAGCCACTTGCAAATATTGCGGTTCCTCTTTTTGACAATTCCTGAAAGCGATTAGGTTATTTTTACATTTTTGCAAATAAACTTTAATTTCAAAATATTTTTATAAGTAAATATTTTGCAAATAATTTTTACATTATCATCTGCTTATAAAAAAATATCACGTATTCACTTGTAATAAATATTCACTTTAAATTGATTTTTCGGTTACATAAAAGTATATAAAAATTGTAACTTTGAATTGACTGATAATATAATTTTTTTTATATGGACAGTACATAGTTATTCAACTTTCTTCTTTTTTTTAATTTACAATTAAGAACAATTTTTAAAGAGTTTTTCATTTTATAAATTTCATTCATTCAATTAAGTTGTTATTTGAGTGAGGAGGGTACTCATGCACTTTGTTGTACTGTGACTAGGTTTTATTGTTCTTTCTTTTGGGTTCAGACGTTGTTGAGTGTCAGACTCATAGGATTCGTTGATCTCTACCTAGGGCTTTTATATACTATTATTTATGGTAGGCCTTTACTTTTAGCTAGGGCTACTGTCTCATTAGCTTTCATATATCGCAACTATAACCATAAAGGATAGAGACAGATTACTTACTTTATTTATTATTAAGTATTTTTGATGCATTATTTATTTCTTTTGTATATATAGCTGCATTTCGACAATGACGATTATATACGAGGTCTGATTATGTAAATAAAATAAAATGAGTCGGGTAGCTTAGAAATATATAAAGAGTAAAAGAGAGAGGGACAAATTCCGATGTGGAAAAGAAAAAGAAAATCTGCTGACAAAGACAGAGCGAAGCCAAAATCTAATAATATATAATATAATATATAATAATAATAATAATAAGAAGAAGAAGAATGATTTGATTAATTTAATTTAATATATAATGTTTTATTTTGTAATAATAATAATAATATAGATGAATAATAATGAAAAGTTGGGTTGTTGGTATTGCTACTCTCGAAAACCGAAGGACAATGGAGTCTATTATTTTTATTATATTTGAGGAGAGTGAGTGGTAAAATTGAATTAGGGTTTCATTTTCTTCTTCTTCACCCCACTGTCACTGCGCAAACCCAGTTCTCCCCTTACCCTCTCTTCGCTCCTGATCTTTTCCCGCCATTTTCCGCGCCTCATTTCTCTGATTTTGAATACTAGCCGTTAGATCTGCCATTTTCCATTTTTTTTAATATTTTTTTTAGGGTTCTGAAAAAGCTTTTGACCGTTGCTCTCGCCGGAGTGAACGGGAAATGTCTGCATCCGAAGCGGAGAAGAAGGTCGAGGAGGAAGAGGTCAAAGGGGGAGAACTCTTGTTCTGCGGTGCCACGTGTTGGGATATCATTGGTCGTCGCAAGGGCGTCGTCGACGGTAACCTCGTCTCTCCCACGCGCCTCCGTCCTTTCCTCGGCGTTGACATTCGCTACGTTGCCGCCGGCTGCGGTAACTTCCTACACTTTTTTCTTTTCTTTTTTCTTTTGTTATTCCGTTTTATGACTCGTGTTTTGAAGTCTGATATCGTTGGCGTGTTCGTTTATATTTTTTCTGTTGCTGTGAACGCAGTGTCTTGTCATTGCGTGGCATTGGACGTTGAAGGGCGTTGTTATACATGGGGACGTAATGAGGCATGGTTTTGATGTTTATACACACGTGTTTTGAATTTTAAATTGTAGAAGGTGTGTTTCTAATTTGTGATATTTGTGGTGCAGAAGGGGCAACTGGGTCATGGAGATTCCATTCAGCGTGATAGACCAACTGTTGTGTCTGAACTTTCCAAGTGAGTTCATGATTTATTGCAGTGGATGTGGTTTCGCTGTTTTTATTTTGGCATTTGGATATGGATATAGTGTTTTCTTGTTTGGTGTTTTATGTTTGTGTAAATGCATGATGTTCAGTCTTCTCTAGCATATGTATGGTATTCGTGTGGCGTCTGGGGTTGTTAATAACTGATTAACAAATGTTTTATAAGAATGCTCTGTTTGTTATTACCATGTTTGTATACGCGTTGGCACACTGTTGAAGCAACAATTTGTTGTTGTTTTTGGTTGATTGTCGGTTTGGTGATCCGTGCCAACGGGAAAACAGGCATGCTCTTTAATTTTGTTTGTCGAATTTCAATATTGAATGTTGAGTTTGACGTTCATTTATCTCTAACCCCTTTCCGTATCAATTTGTAGTTACTTTTGTCATCATTTCTTGTAATGCTAAATTTCCTTGATATTTAAATTGAAGATACAAAGTTGTCAAAGCTGGAGCAGGGAGAAGCCATACAGTCGTTGTTACCGAGGATGGAAATTCCCTAGCCTTTGGATGGAACAAACATGGACAACTAGGTTCGGGTTCTGTGAGAAATGGTATGTTAGTTTGTAGTGTATCTGTAGCATTCTGCAATTTCTGCTGATGCATTTTAGTGGCAGCTGTTGTTTGCTTGGATATTAGGGTGATCCATGCTTTTTCTTAGGCTTTGTTTGGGTATTTTATGAGTGAGATGGATGGTATAGAATGGAATGGAGTGAAGTTTGTAGATATTCGGGTATGATGGAATGGAGCAAAGTTTGTTGTTATTTGGGTATTCATAAACAGAGTAAATTTGTCGTTACTCAGGTATTCAATGATGGAATGGATAAAAGCTTCCATTCCCCTATTTGTAAATTCTAGTGGAAGGTAATAGAAGGGTGAGATTATAAGTTTATCCTTCCAGTTTTCCCTTATTTCAAAAACCTCATTATTCCTAGATTGGGTCTGTTTGTTTAAACTTAAAAAGAAGTATTTTTAAACAAGTGCTTTAAAAAAACAATTCTTTAAGAAGCAGATAGGAGTTGCATCTTAAAAAAAGCAAAAAATTGCTTATTTTAAGAATAGTTCCAAAAAAATGCATCAAAAAATAAAAAAACACTTATTTTATTTTAAAAAACGCTTTTATAAGAAAAAAGGTTTAAGCAAACAGGCACCTTATTACTTTTTTTTTTGGAAGTATTGAACAAGTATCACTTACGCAAGAAATAAAGTTTATTTTTTTCCAAGTAAATATACACATTAAAAATTGGGAAGCAGTTGTGCACTGCAAATGCAAATGTAAATATTGAAAGAAGCAAAATAGCAAATTGAAACATGGGGGAAAGGATGGACTGCTCTGCTGAAGCTTCAGTACCAAATCTTGCACTTGTAGAGCTAAGAAGGGGAAGCCTAGCATTTTGATATCAATTCCATGTACTCTCTTTCTTGCTCATCATAAGCATCCTGGTTTTTCAGTCTTCCATATTCTGTTCCATTGCATCCTATTTTTAAAAACCCAAACAATGACATCCCCTATCAATTTATTCCATTCTACTCCTTTCCACCTTTTAGCATCAATCCGAATCTTTAGTTGCAGTTTTCCTTATATAAAGCTGTGCAGCATAATGGTTTCAGTTAGTTATTGGGATGCTGGTGGTAATGGTTATTACAACTTGCTGCTGTTTGTAATATATGTATTATTGCAACCCGCTGCTGTTTGTTACACATATATGTATATATATTGGCCTTCTACCAAAATAAAATTGATAGCTGATGTAAAATTTTGCAGATCTTCCAGTTATACTTTTGTTTATAATTAGTATTAGTATTTACTAATTAGGATTGCTTTATCTCGTAGAGAATGACAATTTAATTTTCTTCCATGCTTTGTCTTATCAGAAATTGAGTCATCTCCTGTTCGCTGTCTTGTCTCTGAAGTAAAACATACTGCTTGTGGTGGTGACTTCACTGTGTGGTTATCTTCAATTGAAGGGGCTTCCATACTGTATGGTTTCTGAATGAAGATTGTATTTAGTTTTCTTGATTTTCTGTCTCCAGGCATGAGTATTTTGTTCTTGTTTGGGATGCAGTTGTTGCTGAGTTTCAATTTTTCTTTTGCTTTGATTCCCAGGACTGCAGGGCTTCCGCAATATGGGCAGCTTGGACATGGAACAGATAACGAGGTATGCTCAAGGAAGATGTTTCATGGTCTTTGTTGTCCCAGGATGTGAGTGTCTTTATTTTAATTTAAACCCGTGGGATGCAGAACACTGTATTCTAGTGATTGTATATGACCTGTTAAGTTCAACTTTAAAGGTCAGTCGATCAGATGCCATGTGCTTGGGGCCATTTAGTTACCATTGTGCTTAATATGGTTGCCAGGGTTTAACAAACATACGATTACAATACTTGAATATTAAGATGGTTTTGGAAAAGTGTTTTTCACACTTTCTTCATTACTTGATTGAGTATATAAAAACATACAATATAGGCTGAAAAGGCTAAGAGCCTAGGACTGCTCATCAGACATACAAAAAGAAGATAATATAAAATACAAAAGCTTCCCTAATAAGCTATTCTAACACTCCCCCTCAAGCTGAAGCATACAGATTGTATGCACCAAGCTTGGAACATAAGAACTGAATGCGAGGCCCCCTCAATGATTTAGTCATAACATCTGCAAGTTGTTCATTGGATGTGACAAATTTGGTAACAATTTCCTTAGATAGCAACTTCTCTCTAACAAAATGACAGTCAACTTCTATATGTTTAGTTCTCTCATGAAATACTGGATTGGAGGCAATGTGGAGTGCAACTTGATTATCACAATACAACTTCATTGGATGACCTTCACAAAACTTTAACTCTTGAAGAAGTTGCTTAATCCACATAAGTTCACAAGTAATTAAGGCCATAGCACGATATTTAGCCTCAACACTGGATCGAGCAACAACATTTTGCTTCTTACTCTTCCAAGATATGAGATTTCCACCTAGGAACACACAGTAGCCAGTAGTAGAGCGTCGGTCTATAGGACAACCAGCCCAATCAGCATCACAATAGCCAGAAATTTGGCTGTCTCCTTTGTCCTCATACAATAATCCTTGTCCTGGTGCCTTTTTGATATATCTAAGGATACGTAAAACAGCATTCCAATGATCAATATGAGGGGCCTGCATGAATTGACTAACAATCCCTACTGCAAAAGAAAGATCAGGTCTTGTGATTGTGAGATAAATAAGCTTCCCAACCAATCTTCTATATCTCTCTGGGTCTGTGAACAGTTCACCTTGATCAGCCATCAACTTTTGGTTAGGATCCATAGGACTATCAATGGGCTTGCAATCCAACATGCCAGTTTCCTTCAAGATATCAATAGCATATTTTCTTTGTGAAATCACAATGCCTTCCTTTGATTGAGCAACCTCAATACCCAAAAAATATCTCAGATGCCCAAGGTCTTTGGTCTGGAACTGACTAAACAAATGTTTCTTCAATTGAGAGATTGTAGTTGCATCATTCCCTGTAATCACTATGTCATCAACATAAACAATCAAATAAACACATCTCCCAGGTGAAGTGTGACAATAGAACACTGAATGATCTGCTTCACTCCTTTTCAACCCAAAATTCTGCACCACATGACTAAATTTTCCGAACCAAGCCCGAGGAGATTGTTTGAGACCATAAAGGGATCTTCGCAATCTGCAAACTAAACCAGACTCCCCCTGAGCAACAAACCCAGGAGGTTGCTCCATGTAAATTTCCTCCTCCAACTCCCCATGAAGAAACGCATTTTTAATATCTAATTGGTGGAGAGGCCAATGCCGAATAGCTGCCATAGCAAGGAAGAGACGAACTGTAGGGATTTTGGCCACAGGAGAAAAGGTATCACCATAATCTAGGCCATAAATTTGAGTATATCCCTTGGCCACCAATCGGGCTTTGAGTCGATCAACTGTACCATCAGGCCCAACTTTAATGGCATAGACCCATCTACAACCAACTGGTTGTTTACCAGGAGGAAGTGGAACTAACTCCCAGGTGCCACTATGTTCAAGAGCTTGCATTTCAGCAATCATAGCTTGTCGCCATCCAGGATGATCAAGTGCCTCATGGACATTTTTAGGAATGGTTAAAGGAGATATAGAGGAGATAAAAGAACAATATAAAGGAGATAATCGATGATAACTCAAAAAATTGTATATAGGATGAGGGTTCCGAGTCGAACGAATACCTTTGCGAAGGGCAATTGGCCAGCTTGAACTATCATCATTCGGACCCGTAGTAGGGGAACTTGATGGTGAAGGAGATGAAATTGGTGGTTCTTCAGGTATTGTCAAATCAATTTGTCGAGTTCGACGCTGATAGGTGAGAAGAGGAGATGAAGTAACGGGAATGGGTCTATTTGTGGACAAGGTGGGTTGAGTGACCTCTTGATTAGGGGCTAAAGGTTGAAGTGGTATGGATAGATGGGAAGATACAGGTAGAACCTGTTGGATTGACACAGAATCATTTGTAGAGGATAGGAAGAAAGGAGTGTGTTCAAAAAAGGTAACATCAGCAGACATGTAAAATTTTTTGGTCTTTGGAGAATAACACTTGTACCCTTTCTGGAGACGAGAATAGCCTAGGAAAACACATTTGATAGCCCTAGCCGATAGCTTATCCAAACCAGGAGAGACATCATGGACAAAGCATGTACACCCAAAGACTCGAGGTGAGACATGAAACAAGGGTTCCTTTGGAAAGATAATCGAGTAAGGAATTTTATTCTCAAGAGAAGACGATGGCATTCTGTTTATTAAAAAACAGGCTGTAAGAATTGCATCACCCCAATGATGTACAGGAACATTTGCATTGAGCATCAGGGTGCGTGCAGTCTCTACAAGGTGTCTATTTTTCCTTTCTGCTATTCCATTTTGTTGGGGTGTGTGTGGACATGTAGACTGATGTAAAACACCTTGTGAAGATAAAAAAGAAGACAATTCAAGGGAGAAATATTCTTTGGCATTATCACTTCTAAAAATTTTGATTGTTTTTCCAAATTGGTTCTGAATTTCATTAAAGAAGGAAACAAATATAGACAAAAGTTCAGAACGATCTTTCATTAAGTATACCCAAGTACAACGAGAAAATTCATCAATAAAGGTTACAAAATATCTGAAACCAAAAGATGTTACACGGCTTGGACCCCATATGTCAGAGTGAATGGTGGTAAAAACTGAGTTACACCTTTTTTCAGTTTGTTTGGGAAAGGATGATCTAACATGTTTGCCTAGTTGACATGACTCACAACCTAACTCTTCCAATGTTTTGAGACTAGGAACTAAGAGTTTCAACTTGGACAAACTTGGATGACCCAAACGATCATGCAAAAGCTTGGGTGGCAAAACAGCAACACAAGATACTGATGGTTGCATTCCAAAATAGTAAAGACCACCAAATTCATGTCCTACGCCAATCATCTTGCCCGTACCACGTTCCTGAATGACACAAGATTCAGCATTAAAAGTTACTGAACAGTTTAAGGATTTAGTTAATTGACTTAAAGAGATCAAATTGAAAGGACATTTAGGGACAAATAAAACAGATTTTAAATTTAACATGGGAGAAAGTGAAACTTGACCAATTCCTTTGGGGGCAATTTTGGATCCATCTGCTAAGGTGATAAGATGGGGTGATTTAAGAGAGGACATGGACAAGAATAGAGAATCATTACCAGCTATGTGATCAGAGGCACCTGAATCAATGATCCATGGACTTTGACTTGCAGTTAATTGAGAAATACAGGCTGTAGAAATAGTAGGAGTAGAGGAAGATTGAGCTTGACTCATAGCTTTCCATTGAAGATATTCTTGGTAATCATTTTCAGGAATCTTCCTATCAACCTTTTCTGATTGATCAGACTTGGACAGATTTGCTATCTTTTCTGGAAAACCATTGAGAGAGTAACAATTCTCTTGAGTGTGACCCATCCTTTTGCAGTAGGAACATTGAGGACGGCCACTTCTACCCCCTCTTCCTCGGTTTCCACGACCACCCCTTCCCTTGGAAGAGACCATAGCAGAAGCTTCAACAATGGCGGTAGAATTTTCACTCTTGGATTCAGTTGGAACTCGAAGTAGTCTAGTAACTAAGTTGTCCATTGAGGGGATTTCATGACCGGTCAGGAGTTGATCACGAACATGATTAAAGTCTGAATGCAATGTTCTTAAAATCATCACCATATATAGCCTATCAAGTTTCTTCTTCATTCCTTCCAATGACTCATCATCAAGAAATAATTTTAGTTCTTCCACGGCAGCTTGAGCTTCAGCCACATGAGAAACCATATCATGACTAGTTTGTCTCAAAGAGGCTAGTTTTTGTGCAGCATCATACAGCCTTTGAATGTCATTAGCATAGATACTTTGAGCCTTCTTCCAAAAAGAGCAACAAGTTTTAAAGGCTCTAAGTGTTCCAAGTATATTGGGTTCCACAGATTGCCACAAAACAGCACATAACTGAAAATCAACTTTCTTCCACTGAGCTTTATTCTCTATTGACCCCTCAATGTCTTCCTTTTCTAGGTGGTCATGGTGTCCTTGACCAAGGAACCAAAGTTCCACAGATGCAGCCCATGAAAGATAGTTCTTCCCATTTAACTTTTCTGCAGTAATGGTAGGTGTACCAGCAATAGCAAGAGCAGGACCTGAAGAAGCCATGGGAGAAGAAGAAAATTGGAAATAAATACGAAGAGGAGGAGATGAACAGTGACCGCGACCCAAAAGACCAACTGGAACAATAAACTGAGGTCTGAAACGGACCCAGACAGCTCAGGCGAACACAACGGTGGCGGCGTGGCGGACTTCCGGTGACCAGAAGGCGGCGCGTGAGACACACGCGCTTTGACGGACAGACACTTGGAGCGGCGCGTGGGAGCGCGTGGATACTTGGATGCGCTCAAAAACAGCAGGGTTGGGTCGCGCTCAACGAGGCGCACCAAACCCTACGTTCTTCGAAAAATTTGGTCGCCGGCCGGCGGCGGCAGACGGTGGCCGGAGGCGGCGGACGACGGCGAGCGACAGAGCGGGATCGGACCCGCTCTGATACCAACTTGAATATTAAGATGGTTTTGGAAAAGTGTTTTTCACACTTTCTTCATTACTTGATTGAGTATATAAAAACATACAATATAGGCTGAAAAGGCTAAGAGCCTAGGACTGCTCATCAGACATACAAAAAGAAGATAATATAAAATACAAAAGCTTCCCTAATAAGCTATTCTAACAACAATGATTGAATTTTGACATATTTCTCCATTGCCATGGCAGATCTGATCCACCCAACATGTAAAGAAGGCATACATTTCAACGTAGTTTTTTTTGTGTGCTGATATCTTTCCCTCAGCTTTACTGCATCAATTTTATTCACATGTTCTCATGAAATAATTATTCCTGTGTGGCCAGTTTAAGAAATAATTGTTATGTTCTAAAATAATATTATTGAATTCAACATTTTAACTCACAGCACACTAGATATTTATTTGTGCAATTGGTCGTCTGGATTTTATGAATTTTAAGGCTCTGATTCCTTAGCCCTACTCCTAGTGTAAGTCATCTTTAATAGCTCCTTTCTCCCTTGCTAGTGACTCGGTCTCTTGCCATTGGTGATTTTTTTCCCTTTCATGTAGTGGATATTCTTTCATTCTCCGATAAACAGAAAATTCATTTAAAAATTGTTTGTTTTAAAAAAAAATACCAATATTTATAGGCATGCCTAAAACTGTTATATTTGCAGATTGCAAGACATGAGAGTTATAGAATAATGGACAAGGAGGACTGAAACTAATTAGTAATTGCAAAATAATTAATCAGGTTCTGTATTTAACTTTTGCTAATTTTATGTCTCATGAATAATGTCCCAATTATTCTACAATTCCATGTATGGCTTGAGTTTCACGTGATCATTTCAGTGAATTTCATGCACTGTAGAGGAGAAATTCCATGCCAACATGAATTAAAAGCATCACATAACAATCCCAGTAATAATGTCATTATTTTACTAAATAAAAAGTTGTAATTCTTCCAAAATGACCTTGAATTGGACATGCTATTAATTTTTAACTCATGCTTTAATACTTGGAAATTCAATCCCTTTTTTCCCCTTTCATTTCCATTGTTTTCTGCTTGTCCTGTCATACATTCACATGCATGGGGCTGTGAAAAACTAAAAGTTTTACCTATTTTTGCATATACTTGCAGTATAATTCCAAAGACAGCTCTGTGAGGTTGGTTTATGAACCCCAGCCACGTCCTCGAGCAATTGCTGCTCTTGCTGGGGAAACTATTGTGAAAGTGGCATGCGGAACAAATCACACAGGTGGTTGTCATTCCTTGCTTGATCTTGGTTATATGACCTTATTTACTACTTTTCCTTATTATTTTTGTTTTGGATATTTAGTGGCGGTGGATAAGAATGGCTTCGTCTACACGTGAGTAATCCTTTAGTGTCCTGCTTCAATGTTTTACTTCCTTGTGTGTAAAGTTATAATATTTGATTACTTGGATGTGCAGGTGGGGTTTTGGTGGCTATGGAAGGTCTGTGCTTAGTTCCAGATTGGGTTGGCAATGTTTTGTGCACTCCCAATTAACTGCAAATATCAGATAGTTCTTGTTCAAAATTGGTTTTCAATATTTGGTCCCTACTTATGTTCAAAATTTCTTCAAAGTGATTTAACCTTGTTGGTTATGTTACTTGAATTGTGTAGGCTAGGACATAGGGAGCAGAAGGATGAGTGGGTCCCACGCCGTGTTGATGTTTTTCAGAATAGAAATCTCTTGCCGCCTGATGCAGTTATTTCAGCTGGTTCTGTGAATTCTTCTTGTACTGCAGGTATGTCTCTAACTGATGCATTCCCTGACCCGTGCTTCAGTAATTAAAGTACAGACTTATATTATGCATCTCCTTCATAGCTGTTATTATGTTGTTTGCTTCCTATCTGGTAATATTGATAACATGGTGGTTTCTTGAGGAATTTGATGCTCTCAATCACAGTCTTTCAATATTTGTTTTCCTATTTGGAGTACAGACTTATCCAAAAGCCATTCTCTTTTGGGTTCAGTTTCAGTGCTTGTTCTTTTTTCATTTCAGGTGGAGGGCAGTTGTATATGTGGGGCAAAATTAAGAACGCTGGTGATGACTGGATGTATCCTAAGCCTCTTATGGATTTAAGGTTGTATTTATTCCATGGTTTGAATAACAGTTCTTGGTATATGAAATTCTTCAAGATAAGTTTTTTCCTCCTCCCATCTCTTTTTCACTCGATGTTCATCAAAATATCCCATATGTTCTTTGGTAAACAGTGGTTGGAATTTAAGATGCATGGATTCAGGCAATATGCACCATTTTGTTGGGGCTGATTCCTCTTGCATAAGTTGGGGGCACGCTCAGAATGGAGAGCTGGGATATGGACCTACTGGACAGAAGTATGTGTGTGCCACTCTTTTTTGGGGGGACGGGAGTGGGAGTAATCTCTTATTATGTGTTGCCTTGATTTTCTTATTTTCTAATCTTGTTTGCACTCATCCTTTAGGTCTTCAGCTGTACCCAAGAAGGTGGAAATACTCGAGGGTATGCATGTAATAAGGTAGGTAGTAAGCATCACCTTTTTGTTCCTTTTTATCTTGCTTGCCTCATTTTCTGGATGTTGCATATTCTTTTTTCCACTCCGAAAGTCAAGTGGTTTTTTTCAGTCTCCGTTTGTTTCAAGTAACCAAAATATTGGTATCAGTTAAGTTATGCTTTGACATGATAAATATTATAGTAAAACTAAAGTTGCTCATAAATGATGTGATAATTTTTTATACAATAAGATTCTTATCTATATGAATATGAATAAGCAAAATGAGAATTGATCCAATATGTTTTCTTATTTTCTAACAGTGTTGCGTGTGGCATGGGTCATTCGATGGTTATTGTTGATAGAACAAATGTTGCTGATAGGCTTGACCAGGTAGCTCTTAAAGCTTGCTTATTATTATTTTAGGAGTTCATTACTCATGTTTATTGTACTAAGTTCTCAAAGGATTTAACAAGGTCTGTTATATTTTTGGTACTTGGAGCAAAAATCATCAAATCCTATCGAGTGTTTTCATGATCTGTTTATGTGTTGAATGTGACAGGAACCAATAGTTTCTTTATAAGAAGGGTTTTTGGTTTTTTGTAATCAGTAGATTCTAGTTATTTTTTCCATTTTATTTATAGCTATCTTTTTTGTCACTCTTCTATTTTTATCTCCCAAACATCTCCTTTATCTGCACCTAACATCTCCTTTATCTGCAGCTTGATGTATATGATGGCAAAGCTGTTGATGAAGGTATGCTACGTATTATAAATTCAAACTAGTTTTAAGTGTATACTGTACAATCCATCCTAAATGCAACAGGTAATAAAAGCTCTGTGGTCTCAAATCCATCAGCTTGTTTCATTTTATGGCTGATTTGAGGGGGGACGGGTGGGGGAATCCTGATTGCAGGAAAGATATTTTCCGGATCCATTTTCTGTTGACCATTGAGAAAGGCTTGAACAGTCTGTTAAGAGTTTGAACTGGTGCTGATTTCAATGTGCTCTGGATGCAGGTAATGAGGCCATGAACACAACTCCAGTGCCTAAGCAAAAGGAAAAAGGAGCTGCGAAGAAGGGTGCAAAAGGAGCTGACAACTCAAAGAAGAGAAAAAAATCAAAAGATTCATCTGAGTCAGAGGAGGAAGAGGATGCTGAAGAAAGTGATGATAGTGAGGATCAAATTAATGGCAAGGCTGAGGTGAAAAGGTCGCGTAGTTCTGGTAAAGGCCGAGGTAAGGCATCCAAAAAGTCAGGTGCTAAGGAAACAAGCTCTGGCCGGGCACGGGGTGGTGCTGCAGCAAATAAAAACAGTTCTAAACCCCCTCAGGTGAAATCTGGCAAGAGAGGAAGACCCCGTAAGTCATAACGTAGTTAATTGTTGGAAATTTTGCTCTCTAAATACCTAAAGAATTCTAGCATTGGCCGGTGATTATACCTAATGTTTTGGTGATATTAAAATTTAATCCCGCTAACTATTTAATGCAAATTTTTGAGAAACATTGAATTTGCAGACTGATTTGGAATGCAGAGGCAAGAATTGCCCGTTTGTTATAATTTTTTTGTAAGGGGATGTTTATTGCTTTTGTTTCCATATACCTTTTTATGTGTCCCTTCTATCTTCTAGCCCTTATCCTGTTGTGGTGATTTGATGGGATGTTGGTTGATAAAGTTTGAAGTTGATTAAGTTGTTTTAATTTTTAAGCTATTTTTTTTATTATATTCTAAGGGGCTATGGTATGGTTACTGTTACCTTGTGACCAGTTCAAATCTTAAAGCATGGTCGTGGATACTACCCCATACAAATTATCCCGTAGCTGGATTGTAGATAAAGGAAAGTGGTGATTGGAAGGGAATGAGGGTTTTCTTTCACATCTCTTATCCTTTGAGCTGCATTTTCATTTCAAGTGAGATGGGTTCTCCAGGACAGGTTCAGAAAATTTATTAAGTGGGGTAATAAAATATTTATATCATTTTTATTGAAAAATATAATAATTTTTTTGAAAAATATATTTTTATGATTAAAAAATTAAAATACCTTTTTTTATATATTACAATTGTTTTTATAAATAAAATGATAATTTTTCATTTTTTTTATTCTGTCTGATATTATATTTAAGTGTTATTTTGTAACTTTTTGTAACTTATTAAATATTAGAGGAATAAAATGATAAAAATTAATAGGATAAAATTAATAAAATTACTTATTTGTTTTCTTTTAGTAGTATCTTCTAAATTTTTACACTCATTTAAAATAAAAATATTGAGTTTAATGTCTATTTTCTTATAAGAGTAAATTTCTTTTTATTAAATATATTTTAGTTAAGAAAAATTGTGTAACAATTACTTGCATTCTTCTTAATGTGGATCTTTTCCTATCAGCACATAATATACATCTACAAGATCAAAGGATTAAAAACTAAAATTAAAAATTAAAAAATAATCTACATTAGTAAATTAAATTATAACATCTTTAATAAAGTAAAAAGTAATAAATCCTTTAGTTAAAAAATATAATATATTATAATAATAATAAAAATGGGGAGGGATTTAATTATTTCAATAGTAAGTTTTGATAGATTTATTTTATTTAATTATTCATGTTTTACATCAAGTTTTAATGATCTAATCATTCAACAGTTCTTCATATATAAATCAAATTTATAAATATAAAAAATTAAAAATTATTTGATACTTTATTTTATTAAATTAAATTTACGGCTAATCATAAAAATTATTTTATATGTTAATTTAAATTTATATAACGAAGTATTATATGATTTTTAATTTTTTTTAAAATTTATAAACTTTATCTATATATTTCTTAAAAAATTAATATTTTATATAAAAAAAAATGATAGAATTTGAGTGGGGTAATTGTTCCCACTTATTTATATATGAATCCATTCCTGGTTCCCCAGCTAAGTTCTATGTAAATTATCAACAGTTCTAAAAATGATAATCAAACAACATAGATGTAATTTTTTTTAATAAGATGTATTATATACAAGTTATTAGAAAATGAGGAATCATAATCAAATAACTATAATTTTCAATAATTTTTTTTGGAAATTTTATGAACACATTTATCAATATTTTTGAATTAATTTCTCATTTGAATGTTTAATGTATTTTGGAACTATATTGTTTTAAAGAAATATCCCTATTTTGTATAATCGGACAATTTTGAGATAGTTAAAATTGGACATATTTTAATGATGTGTGGTGTACCGAAATTTGTTATCACTAAACAAAATAATTGACTGTACTTACAACGTTATATATAGGGTGAGTATCGATAATTTGTGCAGTTTTTTGTGGGAATGGAAGTTAATAACAGTTAACCAGTGTATTTGACTAACGAAAAAGATAGATCCTCCGAAAAGTGTTCCGAAAATTATTCTAAACAAATAAAATATTAATTTAAATTATAAAATATTAAATTACAACATTATTTTATACGTAATAGAATAGAGTGAATTCAAATGAAATGAAATTACAACATTATTTTATAGTTTGGATATTTATAATGGAACGGAACAACAATTTCTTTCCATTCTTTGAAAAAAATTTGTACTATGTTTGAATTGATGATCTATAATAAAATAGAGTGAATTCAAATGAAATGAAATTACAACATTATTTTATAGTTTGGATATTTATAATGGAACGGAACAACAATTTCTTTCCATTCTTTGAAAAAAATTTGTACTATGTTTGAATTGATGATCTATAATAAAATAGAGTGAATTCAAATGAAATGAAATTACAACATTATTTTATAGTTTGGATATTTATAATGGAACGGAACAACAATTTCTTTCCATTCTTTGAAAAAAATTTGTACTATGTTTGAATTGATGATCTATAATAAAATAGAGTGAATTCAAATGAAATGAAATTACAACATTATTTTATAGTTTGGATATTTATAATGGAACGGAACAACAATTTCTTTCCATTCTTTGAAAAAAATTTGTACTATGTTTGAATTGATGATCTATAATAAAATAGAGTGAATTCAAATGAAATGAAATTACAACATTATTTTATAGTTTGGATATTTATAATGGAACGGAACAACAATTTCTTTCCATTCTTTGAAAAAAATTTGTACTATGTTTGAATTGATGATCTATAATAAAATAGAGTGAATTCAAATGAAATGAAATTACAACATTATTTTATAGTTTAGATATTTATAATGGAAGGGAACAACAATTTCATTCCATTGTTTGAAAAAATCAAAAAAAATGAATTATAATTTTTTTTAAAAAGATTCATATGATTAGGATAAAATTTGTAAAAATAATAAAAAATATATATTTTTTATATAACTTAGATGCTTTGATCCATCAAGTGCACCTTAAATTTGGGGGAAACAAAATTGGGAGTAAGTATGGAAGGAAATGGATCATGATCCATCTTCTTGTGTTATGTTACGTTCCAGTTTTTTGAAACTAAACAATTGAACAACTTACCCTTTCTACTTTATCCTTCGTCATTTCACTCTATACCACCCATCCAAATGAAGTATTAGTTTCACTATCAAAAAAATTATTTGCTATTAGCTTTTATAAAATAAAAAACCACATATATTAATAAAAATGTCTCATATTTTGACAAAAAAGAAAGTTAGCACATACCTTTCTCATTTAAAAAAAAATATCTTTCAAAATTTGTAAGTCTCACTTGTGAATGTACGTAAACTATAAACTATAAATGTATTAAGAAGTTTTTCAAAACTGATACACCAACCAACTTTAACCTCTGTTCCTTAACTTGTGTAATTCGATTGAAAGTTAATTTTACCACTATTGTCTGCATGATGTTTAATGCATTTGGAGATTTTATGGTGCCATGCCACTCTTGTTTATCAGTCAAAGCTATTAAAAAACAATTGCTATTTCATTGGTGTGGGGTCTTGTGCAGGAGTAGAAACTGTTTCTGCATAAATTTTTTACTGCTGAGTTCCCTTTTGTATCTGATATGTGCTAAAAAAAGTGTTTGAGGATTTGGGTCTGGAATGATTAGGAATTGAGGATCCAATAAATGTATGGAAACTGAAACAATTTTGGAGCCAAAAACTCAAAAAGACCGGATTGGAGAGTAAGATAGGTAGGACCAAGATCATTTTGTAGGCTTTTGGTGGATGTCTAAGACAGACCGGAAGGCCTATTTAGGTACATGAGTTTGGGCTTTTGGTTGTGAGAATTGTTGGGCTTTAGTATGATGAAAGATGGTTGGCTGGCAGCACATGGTGAGAGTGAATAATTGGTTGGGATTGGGAGTAGCATGTGAAATATGTCAGGTGGATAAAGTTTAAACGAGATGAGGCCATGCACATGCAGCATAAGCTTTTATGATTTTATTTGGCACACAGTTGGACGAAATATTTGACGAAACAACAATGTTGCGTTGGATCCCATGTGAGATTGGGGACCACCACACCTACGCACTCACTATTATTTGGCTCTATAATCTATATAGTTGGCTAGTCATGTGCCGTTGTACCTAAACGTCATTTGATTGTTGTTGACCTCAAATGCCTCACATTCATTCACTCTCCACTCTTGTTGCCACTGGTAGCAAGTAGCAAGTAGCAAGCAGGAACCAATTACTCATATTCAAAGCAATCTTACGTCCCTCTTTCATGATTGGGACTCTCTGCTTTCACTGATCGAGATCACAATCCTACCATAAATAAATCAAACTTTATAATTCACACCATTCTCTGCTTAACTATTTTAGTTTATCTAATCATTTTCAAGTTGAACTGTGAATATGTAATTGAGTTAAGTATTACAAGAAATTTTTTGATGTTTATAATACTCTTACCTAGCTTTTGAGTATTGTTCTGATGTATAAAATTATCTCTGAAAAACTTAGTTGATGTTCAAATTCAAAACATTCAAAAAGGATAATTTAACGTTCTTAATTATTTTGCATAAAAAAAAAGTTCTTAATATGTAGTGTTAAATATTTAGTGAAAATTTTTTATTCTCATATTTATTGTATTTAACTCGAGATTGTTTTTATTAAAAGAAATACTTGTAATTTGTTTTGGGGGGAAAAACGTTTATAATTAAGCAAACAAATTAGTTTGTGTTTATACCTAAACATAACATGATTAGATCAATCATTTTTGTTTTCTCTGTGATCGGATATTCTCACAAGTATGGCAGTGATACAACGTACCCTCAAGCTTAAGATATGGCTAAATAGACTTTTCGATAATATAAATTTTTCTTTGGAACACAACATATGACCAATCACTATATCATTGAATAATCATGGTGTTTTGTTTTTACTTTTAAGATCATCGGTATTCAGATACACATTAAATATTTAACTAATTCAAAAAGTTAAGTTAGATGAAGTTATTGTGAGTAACATAACTCTACCTTTTTAATTTTCAACGCCATTGCAATTTGTAAATTTTGAATTCAAAATCCTTAACTAAACGAAACGAAAATGGCTTTGTCTTGGTTTATTTATGCATTTGGTGATCGACTATGAATGATTTGACAGGTGAAAGAAGTAATCTTTGAAAGCTGAATTAACAAATAGAAAACGTAGTCGTTTTTTTCTATAGCATTTGTCAAAAATATGTTTATTATTTCAAA